CCCCCGATCGATATTTCTCCCGAACCGTTGAAAGGAATCGCGGAGGGGGGGGGGGGAGACAAGACGCTAGTTATGACTCTCACGTGCTGCGTGCTGTTGCGACCGGCGAAACAGACCATCGAGAGGTCCCAGTCGCGCAACATGCGTTGCGTCTGCGACACTCTGATGAGCTGCTGGAGGGCCGCCCGGCCAGTCTCCGCCAGCAGAGCTCGTTGAACCATCTGGACGAGGTCCAGAGGCTTCATCAACGACAAGCTCGCCACTGCACACGCCCCAGGCTCGTCGCACAAGGGCATGGGACTCGTCTGCTCTATTTCCTGTAGCACGTGATGGCATCGGGGGAACATAGCGAATGGGGGTGTAAGAGCAATAAACACAGGCCATTCGTGTCAACCATATCTCATCATTCACTAGCAGCAGCAGCAGCAGTAGCATGAGCAGCATGGGCAGCATCAATAGCGTAAGCGGGAGATTTCCGCAAAGTACACGCCACAGCGAATCGAATCGATAGGTGTGCGACACATGAGCTGCTGGCAGTACACACATATTTGACAGCAACAACAACAACAACAACAATATACAAAAGCGCTTGCTCACCGCCACACCCAAGAACGGGGGCCATACGCACAAGGCGCCACCGTCATCGAAGGGTGCCACGGTAGCCGGCGAGGTCGGGTGGCGAGCGGTACCGACGCTTGAAGGTTCCAGGTCCTGCTGTTGCAGACAGACATAGCATAGTAGGTAGGTGCGTGCACCGTCATGGGGGGAGAGGGGTAGACTATGTGAGCCAAAACTGTTTCGTCGGTGTCACTCATAGCTAGCCGATCATTCGTGAGACACTTGGCAGCAGCACCACCTGCATGAGCACCGGCAGCGTCGGGAAATGTCTGCAACGCACCGCATTTGAATCGATTCATACCAATCAAGGTGTCTGGCACATATGTGCGTTGTTTTCGTCCCGTGTATTATGGCGACAGTCCCCCATTTTTCGTGGTGAGACGTGTACTACTCTTTTCAGTGTGTGCACCGTACTACACACATTTTCGTACAACTACAACCATCCAGGGCCACGCAGGAGGGGGTAAACACAAGGGCTCTTTTCTTCTTTTCATGCATTTTCGTGCTCCACCTTTCTCCTGCGGTGCGGGCTGAAATATATTTTTATCGCGAGAAGGGTCCAGCCATCCCTTTCCCTCGTCAACGGTGCTAACTAACGTCGAAGTTTGGTACTCACAAGAGCTTTTCCAACTGTATTTCGCTTTCACCTGCAAATGTTGTACATGTTTTCACCCCAAGGGGATTCAAACTCACGACCATTACGACTAACGGTTTTCGGGTACCACAATAACGGACCACCGGGGCGACCATATACAACAGAAAAAAATATTTGGAGCAAACACGTTTCACAAGATAGAAAAAAAACATTTCCCACGCTTACCGGAAAGCCCAAGGACGGAGACCAAGGGCACGATGGAACATGATCCACGCGGAATGCGGCCACGTCGAGCGGTGCCACAGACGACAAGGTCGCAACCGCGCACGCTCCAGGCTCCTGACAAACGGGCGTGCCGTCTGTCACAACAACGGTCTCGTCCACAACCTGCAGCACGTTACGGGAAGTGTGTTTGTGGGCGGGGGGTAGCGAAGGGGGTGTAAGACGGACAAGACTGTTTTGACCGTGTCAGGCATAGCTGATGATTCATCAGACGCGTGGCAGCAGCAGCAGCAGCAGAAATCGTTTGTAAAGCACCACAATGGATCGATTCATCATGTGTGGCAAACGTGCAAGAGAAAAAAGAGCATATTTTCCAAACGGAACACTGCTGCCGTTGGCAAAAAAACGTTTAAAAAAAAACCGCCAAGCCCAAGAACGGATGCCAAATGCACGACGAAAGATTGCCGGTACGTCCGTGGTGGACGTCGCGGAAGCCGGCAGGGTCGCGTGGGGTGTGGTACCGAGCTTGAAACTTCGAAGGGTCGGCACCACTCGCCACCTGACCCTGCCGGCTACCGCGATGTCCACAACGGACGTAGCGATGATCTTCCATCGTGCATTCGGCCTCCGTTCCCGGGCTTCAGAGGTGTTTTTTTTTTCGTTGTTGTGAAATGCTATTGTTGCCAACAGCAGCAGTGTTCCGTTTGGGAAAAAGTATTTCAGCTCTCGTACCCGTCGCTTAAGAAACCACACAGCAGTGCTCTCGTTGCTGAACTGTTCCCTCGTCCGCCTTACTCGAAAAAATCTGTCCGCAACGCTTCGCCGATTTGACCACGTGCTCCGCTTCCATGACTGCTCCTCTCATTCTCCCTCACCACGAGCACGCACCTACCTACCTATATCTGTCGTCTGCAACAGCTGGACCCCACGCGGTCAAATCGGCCAAGTGTTGCGGACACTTGTTCGAGTAAGGCGGACAAGGGAGCAGTTCAGCAAAACGAGACCACTTCTGTGTGGTTCGGTATACTGTAGGGGTGCGATATGCAACCGATCGTAACGTGCATGCCACAAATCAGCAACGGCGTACGCCATTTCTAGCCCAAAAGGGACTATCAACATGAGAACCATGGCCATGCACACACGCATCAGCTCTGCCTCATCTATCTGCTACACATTGGCGACCGCACTTCGGCAAAAAATGCAGCAACACTTTTGATCCCCGCTCGGGACGCGCTACACTCAGGAAATTCCAGGAAATTTAACGTGCAAAACGCTCCAACCACACAAGACGCTGCCAGCGCAATACCACCATTACAAGATGTCGATCGTACCGGCCAATCGCCGAAGACCACCGGAGACCAGTGCACGGCTTCCGGCACGATTGGTTGAGGAGGCGCTTCCGCCGCCATCGCCGCTCGGGAGCGGACGACACGCTGCCGGGAGCCGGGGCGGCGGGGCGGGAAAAGTGTGCACAAATAGGCGCGAGAAGAACGACTGGATGTGGCAGTCGAACGGATCGCTGGTGCTTTGATACGAAGCACGGCCATGGGGTTCGGCCCTTTGGCTTGAAATCACAGCGGTGTTGATGTATTGTGGTGGTACTCAAAACGCACCTTTTTTTTCCGCATGCCGGAGACTCTCCCGAAAATATAACGCAGGTAAAAAAACTCAGGGAGAAAAGATGAGAAATACTTGTCATCCATGCCGCCCCCTCCCCACGCAGAGGCGTTCAAACACATGAAATACCAGTTTCCTCGCTCCGTATCCATTTTCGAACCCGCCATTCCCCCCCTTTGCCAATCGATAATGACGTGCGTGTGCATATTTATTTGTAGTACCTCCAAAACCGGCTCTTTTTCAGGCTGAGTTGTCGTCCAAAACACCTCGGGGGCGGGCTCTGCGGTGCTCTCCTCGAGGATCACCCGGACATCGATGCCGTTAACGATGATCCGCAGCGCGGCGGGGATGCCCTTGACTACGGTCTTGGCTCGCCGCAGCATCCCCTGGCCCTTGAAGGCGTCCGCCAAAGGCAGCAGCGTGATAGCCACCAGTAGAAGCAGCATCGGCCACGCCGGAAACCACCTCATTATTCTCTCGCCTGTGTAGGGCATGAAAGCGGTAGGAGGCGCGGCTTTAGTGGCTGGCCAATGCACATTTCTTCGTTGCCCACATGTCCCCAACGGAGTTGCCCCACAATCGGCAGCTGTGCCGCTTGTTGGAAGCTCTTGGCTAGAGGGAAAACCACAGAGTGCCGTGGCGCAAATCCTGTGTCTGGGTCTTGAATAATCTGACTCACACGATCCAAGGAGGGAAAATCGGGTCGGGCAATAAAGCTGTCCCTTGGAGGCCAAGAGCTTTCACGGCTCACGCGGCGATCGATCTATCTATCTCTCTTTCGCGTGTGACCAGCCTGAGCAGCAGCTGCATGGAGCAAGGGATACTCATCTGTGCGTGTACCGTAGCCACAACGAGAGAGAATCCGAGGGTCGACTTGGCTCCAGATCAAACAGCAAGCATGCTTATGTGGGATGATCATGCTCTTTCCGCCAGCGGCCTTGTGTGCGAGCAGAGCGCATCCACGGCGTGGCCCGTCGCCGAACATGTTGATAGACATGCACTGCGCACACCGGCAAACTCCAAACGCCCGGGCGCGCTCCTCCCCATCGAGTCTATCTGTTGGGTGTGTGCACTTCCCTCCTCCCCTCACAACAGCACAAACAAACACACACTCCCGTACCTGCTTCTTGCCCCTCTCTCTGTGCTCCGCTTTCGCTCCTCTCTCGCGCACGATCTTGCTTCTTGTCCTCTCACTCAACAGCAGGATCGATCGGCGGCCGTTCTCCGAAAAGAGCCAGCAGCCGAGGTACGATCCGGTTGTGCCCTCTTCCAAAACCACCAGCTTTCCCTCTCTCCGCTCAACTTGCGACTCCAGCAAAAAAAGGCGGGAAGAGATGGGAGTGACACGGGTTCAGTCCTCTACAGGATGCGTCCCGGCTTTCTCTTAACGCTTCCAAGGGGTTTCGAATCTGTTACGCTTCGGCAGCCGGTAGCATGAAAAGGCACGCCCACAACGAGCAACTTGAGAAGACATGTATCCATCCGCACGACCATATCTCCGATCAGATTAGGTCCGGCATTCTGCATTCATTCCGTTCTCGATTCTCCCTTCCAGCATGCTGTCGTTGGCGGGACGTATCCCGTGGTCTGGTTCCATCGCTCCCACCAGCCCGCGGGCGCTACGATGTGGTGATGGTGGAGGTCGTGCGTCTTTTGGCAAGCTTGACCGGTACGGGGCCCTGCGGAAGCTATCGATGTTTTGACCTGTTGTACCCCCCCGTCTGCCCGCACCATCTGAGGGCCCCTGCCTGATCTCCGCAATCTCCGAAGATTTCAAAACACCCAGGTCGTTCGTACGTGGGTGTGTTGTGATTGCTGACTGCTGACAGCACCGCGACCCTGCTGCTGTGTACAGCGTTCGTATTTGTGTTGTGCGGTGTACCTGTCGTCATCTTCCCTGATTTTCGACTCAACGTCCCTCTCCGGGAAACGATCAATTGTTCCGCAGCTTCATCCGCGCTGCTGCAGCGCTGCAAGAGAGCCAGGCGTTGCTGATCGACGCGAGCTGTGAAGCACCCCGGGGACGACCATGAGCCAGGCCGAGTCAGGTGAGTTGGCCACGGGGGTTGATCACCTTTGCTGTCGATATATTTTATGGGTCATACACTGTCTACAGGAGCAAGGTTCTTCGTTACTCTAGACCGACGAGGCAATTCTAAGGCAGGTCCCCGTCCATCAACCCCACTTCCAAAGTTGCAGGTTAAAATCGTATGTAACAGACTAGCAAAAGTTGTCACAAAGACACGCGCCTTGTTCCCTGTGAAGGTTACATTTTACAATACACGACATGACGGAGGGTTTCTCCCCGATATTTTTGTCGTTGACCCAGTAGAGAACTACAGGGGATGTATTGCAAGATGTAGGCTACCTTTAAAAGATGTTTTTGTACTTGGCACCAACTGGTATCACTGATATAAATCATCTGTGTTATACTTAAATAGACTCGAAATGCGTCCAGTACCCAGCCGGTTTCCCCCCACTCACTGCAAAGACTCCACCACATCTCGTTCGACTGTGGGTGTATCTCGAATGGGTAGCCTTTCTGCGTGTATATTTATTTTCCCTAAGGTTTGAGTTACATGGAGTTGGCTCACGGTTGGGGCATCGTGAGAGTTACTCTTCTCTTTCGGGGGAGACATTGTCATCTGTGACGCAATTACGAAACTATACCCCAAAGAGGACAACCCATGTACTGCTTTGCAGAGTATAAGGGCTAGAAGACTACAGTACAGCAGTAGCCTTCTACTGAAAGTCCATTGTACTTGTGTTGTCGATTTGTTCTTGATTTGTGTACGTGCATCTCTTGAAGCACAAGCAAGTCTAAGCTGGGTAGATTGGCCGTTAGATATTTATGCATGGCGACAGACATCAGTTTCTGCCACCACACACACGAGAACTTGCCCAACGAGGGATTTTCGCCTATTTTTCTCTCCAGCTATCCCGGGCGCAGCAGTGATGCAACGGCAAATGATGGCGGTGGCACACTCCCGCGATTTGTATTCCAGCCTGACTACCAGTTGCGTTTTTTAGTTGTTCACTCGTGGACATGACGATCGTGATTTTCCACGAGGGATATTGGCACGCACACCAAGAGCATTGAGGGACATACAGACCCGGGTGCACAATGGTTGGCAGCTTCTTTGCGTTATGTGGCCGTCCTTTTCTCTCTGCCATACGAGAGCTGTATCTCTCGACCTGTTCGTCGCTATTGTAGCGGTAACAAGTCCTGCTGTATAGTTTGCTCCCTGCGATCGTTTTGTGCAACGCAAAGTGGGGCTGTAAACAGTAACACCAAATGTGAAGCACACACGTCGATCGAGTGCATTCTGCATCGAGGGGAGTCAAGCCCAAATAAAATGAAATTAACACTTTTGTGGGCTGTGCAGTCAAAAAAGGGACCGACGCCTTGATGGTAACAAAAATGCCGCACTTCGATCAACACACTGTTGTGTTCGTACAAATTTCTCTTTTCGCCCATGCCGTGGTCGTGGTGGAATGTTCGGTTTCTTCCCAGTTCCAGAGATCGACCAGCTTGTGTGCGCCCCAAGACGTTATCCCTGCCCGCCGGCAATTATGTGACGAACTCCAAACCTCTTGCGTCTCACTCAGGCGGCGACAGCCAATGTCTGGAAGCCTTTGTGGTAGCGCTCGACCTTACTTGTGACGGAGAGAAGTGGTATGCGTCGACACAGCAACTCCAGCTCGCGTCCCTCGACCTGTGCAAGGCTTGCCGGGGGGTGCCTACGTTGGCGTTGAGCGTGGAACGCAGCACGCCCGAATACCTGTGGGCGGAGGCCGCCCGGGGACCTCGAGGCCGCCTCACCGGGGAGAAGAAGCCGCCTGCGGCGCGGACACGGACACGCGTGCCGCCGTTCGGACCGCGTCGCGTGATGTGGAAGCTGCGGGCCCGTGAGCTGGGGCTCGCCCGGAAAGAGCTCTGGGCGAACGTGCAGTGCTTGCTGTTCACTGGATACCACAACGACTGGGTCTGCGACGGCTTCTCGTGGCCGACCGGCCTCAAGAGGCTCGATCTGGGCTACAGGTTATTTTCCATCGAGCAAGTGTCTTGGCCTGCGACGCTGGAGCGCCTGAGTGTTGGGCCGCACTTTAACCAATCCATCCAGAACGTCGTGTGGCCAGAGTCTTTGCAAGAAATTTGTTTTGGTGCTGGATTCTGGCATAGATTCGACGGGGCAAAATGGCCCGCCTCTATGCGGCGGGTATTCCTCACCGGTTACCATCCGATGCCGGTCTGGCCCGGCGTGCAGGTAATCAATAAATAAAGTTGATCTCGGCCCTGTAAACTGGACTGAAGATTTGACATGTTTGCGAGATAGTTTCAATTTTGGGGATGTGTTGAGCGTTGTTACCGCCCATTCTCTTCTCTTGTTTGTGCTTGTTGTTTTCCGATACGGTGAGCTGGTAGCCGAACCGCCTTGTGTTTTCATCGGCGTTGCTTCCCCCGCCTGTACTCGTTGCCGGGGGAACATGTACTCAGACCGTCTACCCTATGCCTTCGATTTTGGATGCTCCTGGCACGTGCGTGTCAATGGGAAAACTCGTTCTTGCCCGCCAGATCAGAGCGGAACAGCTACACAGTAAGGCTTTTCTCTCGGGCGGTCCATGAGAGCTACCGGCGGCAGTTCAAAGAAGAAGCACCGTCTTCGCTGTTAGGTCACACATTGAATCAAGTTGCCCTGGTTCGAAGATGAGGGCTGCAGAGTGTCGCCAAGAAAAGGCTGGTGGGCACACGCCGCTGGCATCACGAGTTGTATTCCATGCCTGACTAGCACAACCCCGGTGTTACGATGCACCAAGACTAACAACCACAACGAGTGCTTTCCGGATAACGGGGCGCGTGGTTGTTTAGCGATGGGTGTTCAAACGCCTGCAACTGTGCAACAGCTCAAGAGTTGGCCCCATCAGGCACACATCATCAAGAGCGCGCCCAATAGCTTTCATTCCCCAACCGAGCAATGCTGTGTGTTTCGGAAATGATAAAAAATAATCCACAACCACAAACACATCGACAGCCATCGAAGCAATTTAGTTCGGCGGCAAAGTCGAACGTCCAGGAAAAACATCCCCCAGATCCAAACAAGGAACAACTCCACCTCGGAATACGTCTACAAGGGTTCCTTGGCAAACGCACAACCTGAAAAAATCAAGCAACATTTCGGAGGGACTCCCTACACGCACATCGCAACTTCACCGGGAGGGGAGCTACAACGTAAGTTGGAGCCCATGTTACTCACTAGTTCGAATTTCACAAAGCGGCGGTACGAGCAGCATTGTCGGCGAAGAAAATGACATTCGAACACTGGCAAGCAGGCGCGCACATTGTTACGACTAACACCACTATGACGATGTCGCAAAAAAAAAGTGCTCTCAAGACAAATCGCCGCCCTAGAACGCAAACCTCCTACATACTGGAGCAAAGAAAAAAAAAAAAAAACACACACACACACAACACACCATTATTGTGCGGTCCACTCAAACTATGGAAATAAAAAAACACATACACGCCATCATCAAAAACACATCAAGACTTGAAGCAAGCCAGGCTCCGGAGGTACTCCTCTAGTCTCGAGTCGAAGGCCGGCAGCCGGATCGGGCTGCCGTCCACCGGGTTGAACTGCGGGTGCTTGGCCACGTACTCGACGAAGATCCCCGAGTAGAGCTGCCTGAGGGTCGGCCGGAGGTCGCCGGCGTTGTTGTCCGTGTTTAGGACGAAGCGCAGCCCGCTGCCGGTCTCCAGGTGGTGCAGGGTGTAGGAGTCCGTCTTGAGGGCGTGGAGCCCCGCGGACGCCGGGTCGGTCGACATCTTCGTGACTACCTCCTGATGTTGATGGCAGTGTGGTTGTCGGAGATATGGGCGGAAAGGAGAAAGCAGAGAGCAGCAGCAGCAGAGAGAGAGAGAGAGAGAGAGAGAGAGAGAGAGAGAGAGAGAGGGAGATGAAGAGAGAGACAGCGGCGGTCATGTGGGTGACACATCAACGCGTACGGAATGAGCCCACCGGAGAAGCGCATGATAGAACAGCGAAAAATCGAGCGGGCATGACCAACAAAGAGCTATGAGAGCGAATATTGCCAGTGCCCCTCGCCGTTTGCTGTGCTGGTGTGTGCTTGTGGCGTGTCCGGTTCGCGTGTCTCGACATAAACTTGGTAATGGAGGGCGAAATAAATCAGGCCAAAGGGGGGTGCCCCGCAGGATAGCGCGAGGACGCGGCAAAGCGGCAAGTGCCATCCTCGACATCACCCCCGCTGTAGGTGCGGTCGTGCGAACGCACTTTATCACACGGGCTATACAAGAAAAGTCGCCCCCTACAGAATGGTCACCTGTGCGAGAGCTGTACAGTAAGCATACGCGTATGGTATGTTATGTCACCTGCGTAGTCTGATTGCCAGGTCCTGGGCAGGAGGGGCCGACACGAATGTAACGACTGCTAATACGATGGCAGGATCTCAGGTTGTGGCACAACCTGTGCGGTGCCGCTGAAAGGGCTGACGCCTCCAGTTCGGAACATGAGTGGTGAGGCATGGGAGGGATCATGCATTGTCTTCTCGGCGCTGGCGGGTGCGATGGTGCCGAAAAAAATACTCGTGCGACTGAAAAAGGTTTTGGAGGTCAAGAACGAAGTGGCTCACGGACGGTCGGACCGCGCACCAAAACATCGTCATGTGCCACTGCGCGTCACCACATTGATTGAACTGATTATCAGCGACTGACTTGTAGCATAGTGGATATGTTGTACCACCTTAACATCTTTCAGCGCATAGTGAGTAATAAAAACAGCCAAATCTGCGAAGAAGCCTGAAATACCCTACGGAGTTGCGTCGTCGCTTCTGTGGGTGTGGGACATTGTACTGCCCAAGGCCACGGCTGCAACGGCGCCATACTCCATCGACGCCATGAGTAGGAGCCCGCCTTGAGCAAAATTTCGAGGCGCAGTTCTAGTTGAGAGCGCGCACCAGCACAGCCGGCGCTTTACGCCTGTGGCGGCGACTGCTGTGACGGTCGAAGCTGCGACGACACCGCTACTGCTGTTACGTGGAATACCGCCGCGCTACATATGTCACCTTGAGGGAGTAGAGCATGCCGAACATGAGCCGCTGCTCCTCTCCATCGTCCGCGGCGTTCTCCAGCGTGTTCTGCGGTCGGTTCCACTCCCGGTAGTACAGACACTTGCCCTGTTCAAATACCCCGAGGTTCCACAAATGAAGTCACTGCTGCAAATAGCAGCACTAATATCCATATTTGGGCGCGAAGTGTTAACAGCTTCGTTCAACAGGCCGCAGAATGCCAACATGGAGCGAGCGAGCTCTGTGAGCATCTGGGGTAGGCAGCAAAGCTGTAATTCGCGTCAGGCATTGCCATCGGCTGGGGGTTGTAGCGTCAACATCACATAATACAGGAAGGGATGCGTTCGTTCAGTGCAACCCAGAGAGAACGCGGCAACAAAGCTATCAGACTGTGCGGGGCGGGGTCGTGTGCCATGCTTGGGGTGGGAGCGGAAGTATGGTACAGTACACAGTACACCCTGCTTTCAGCAGGGCAGGAGTAAGGGAGGTGTCATGAAGTATGAGATAGTGCCGAACACGAGTAACGGGCAGGCCCGACATGGCGATGATGATACTGCAGGCATAAATAACCCGACGCTCACCTTTCTGTTGAAGATGTAGAGGTTGTAAATCATCCTTTCCCACGGCTGGTTGCACGGGGTGCTGTAACAGCGGCAGAGCTTTTCTTCGTCTGGGCGGGATGCCGGCAGATGCGGTGGAACCCGCTGTGTGTGTGCCGCCGAGTGTCCGCCGGTCTCCAGGCCACCTCGTGTGTTGCTATCGAGTCCCGGTTGGTCGCGTTGGTTCTATCCACCTCCCCCGTGTGCCGCCGCCGTCTAGGAGGAATGGGCAGAGGGATACTCACGCGGTAGGCTAGGTAGCAGTGCCGCGATGTTGTGTGTCCTCTCCTATTTCCAGGATACTGCCGTACCAGATGAGTTGTCGTCGCTCGTTTTCCTCTCCTCTGGACACGTTGCTTTTGCGCGTCTGGCGCAGAAAATCTTGTGATTTTAGAGCACCCGCAAGCCTGCAGAGATTTCTGGAAAATGCCGGGCGGGGCGAGGTCTTCTCGCGGTGCGGTGTGAAGCAGTAGGACAAAATGTGCAAGTCAGTGTGCAATGTGCAACGTGGGCTTGGCGAGAGGGGCACAGTGGCATCATGGTTCTCCGAAAAAAATGTCCGTCTCCCATTCGTCGGGAAGTACAGGTTGCCCCGCGTGTCTCAAGCCGTCTCTCCCATTTGCAGAGTCACCGTTGGTTTGGCGCACACACGCTCTTGTGTATCTCGTTGCGTGTGCGGCGACCAGGAGGAAGGGGGGCAGGATAATGTCACGGATGGAATCACTAGTGCCGGCCACAATCAGCCCCGAGGGCAGCCACCCCGACAGTGAGCACCTGAGCAACTGGGGCTCCGTGGAAGACGATCCCGCCGTTGCAACGACATCAACATCAGCATCCAGGCACCAACAACAACAACGGCGACAGCCCGCCGCCAGCAGCAACACCTCCCGGAGGACATCCACCCCATCCTCCTCGACGGTGCGAAGTGACGCCCGTCGCGGCTACGCCGGCAGCAACGCCAGACTGGCGGGAGGAAAGGCGGGGGCGGGCGCCGCTGGTCGGCTGTCTTTAATGGCCAACGGCCGAAGCCAGACCTCAGCAACCAAGCAGACGACGGCACCGTCGAGCGGCAGGGGCTCCCGGACAGGGCCGGTGGATCGCCCCACCGCGTCTTCCTCGCAAGAGCGGCCGTCTGTCGGCGCGGGAACGAGGCGCTCCGCCAGGAAGCGTCTCTCCGTCGAGAGAAACGGCGCCGTCAAGCCCCGCTCCAGCAGCATCGGGAGCGTCGGCAGGCGCACCAGCCTCGGCGGCAGGAGAGCCGAGGAGGACCGGGAAGAGGAGGAGGAGGAGGAGGAGGAGGAGGATGCCCTCCGGGGGATCGGTGACTTGGATGCCGTTGCCCCGAGCCAGGAGGAGATCAGGGTCATGATCGACAGGATCAGGCGGGAGTCTGCGATGGAGGAGGTGGTAGGCGCCGGGGGTCGCGCGGTGAACAGCAAAGGGCAGCGGTTCGAGCATGAGGTGGGCAAAGTCTACGGCAGCGGGGACAATCCGTAACGGACGCAAAGCATCATTGTTGGTTGTGTCGGTGATAACTAACGACGCTTGGTCGTGCTACATACTACTGCATGTCTTCAGCTCCTGCAGGTGTGTGCGCACGTAGGTGAACCCGTCAGAATTGTTATCTCGTTTGTACATATGCATACCATACTTTACTCCCCGCGGAAGCGCCAGCGTACAGCAGTACCAGGCTTCATTTGGTGACATTCTATGTACCAGACGCGGCCTTGGAAAGGGGTACAGCAGTAGAACTGCTACAACTAGTCGCACGTGTGGAGTATGACACACCTGTGCGCCTATCGACTATGTAAGTACGGTGCCTTTTGTTAAGTCCGGAAGTCGCCCGGATGTCGGCATGTACGGTTTTCATGCACACGTCTGTTGTTGTGCCTTCTCCATCCTATTTTATTTTCCACGATTTTTGTTCGGTCTCCTCGATTGTATTCCCACAACTGGCGAGGCTTTGTAGGCACGACCTTCGCCGTGGCGAAGCGCCAGAGTGCGTCTTGCAGTCTGAAGTATTTTTTAGAGGGATTGAAGTTGCATCTAGTCGACCCCCTTTCCTGCACACACCCGCGAAGGACAGGAGAGGCTCATGTCTTGCCATATGTTGCCGCCGACGTGCTGGCCCCAGGCAGACGCACGCTTGGAACGAAACCAAACTTTATACTGCTGTAGCACAGCAGTCGCAGTCGTTGGTAAATGGGGAAGGCCGCAAGCGACAAGTTGGGCCGATGTCACAATACTCCACTCACCGCCGACTTCGGCCCAACTTAGGCTGAGTCTTGCGGCGTGATTATTTCATTATTTCGGAGATTTTTTTTTTCTGTCGGTCGGGGGGGGGGTGGCCTGCACGGAAAAAATTATCAAGATCCAAACGACCGTCTTACGGTTCCTCGAGGTACATTTTTTCTGAAGGGAAAAAAGAGGCTGATTCATGTTCTTGTGATTCACGACATGCTTCAGTACACAGTTTTGGCTCGTGTGCGACCAACAAGACACCGAGCGCCCTATTTATGGGTCGCCTGCAGAGGGCATATGTATCATCGCACGCCAGTGGCTGCATTTTGTGGATGTCGTCGGCCAAAAACCTCTCTCTGATGGCATGCGTTGTACACTGATCACACTCGACTGGGAGCAAGCGGCAGAAAAAAAGAGCAACGTCCAAAAAAGGCAACACCGAACCACACCTCGATTCACGTTTGCAGGCCGTGTGCAATCAAAACTGGACAATACGCTCTGTTTCTGGTACGCGAGCAGAGGGTATGTGTATGACCACACGCCACTGCCTGCTGTTTGTGAATGTCGTCGGCCAAAGGCCTCTCTCTGGCATGCGTTTTTGCTGGTCGCGGGTGACACACGGAGCAAAAACGCGGCGGAACAAGAACAAATACCAAAAAGTCAACAGCGCAACACACTTTGGTTCACGTGTGCAATCAAAACTGGACAACACGCTCTGTTTCTTGTACGCAAGCAGAGGGTATGAGTGTGAACACACGCCATTGGCTGCAGTTTGTGGATGTCGACGGCTTAAGGCCTCTCTCTGGCATGCGTTTTGAACTGGTCACACATGCAGCAGGCGCAAAAATGGCTCTTTTCGGCCCAAAGGCAAGAACGTCAGCAGAGCAATGTGGCAGGGTTGACGTTTTCGGCTCGTGTGCGGCCAACACGACGCAGAACGCCCTGAATTTTAGATACCTGCAGAGGGTTTGTACATGACCTCATGATACTGGCCTCTGTTTGGCTAGCAGTCGGTGTAGTTCCTCGTTCTGGCACGATCGGCGTGTGACCAGGGGGTACCCCACCCCTTTTCTAACAGCGATATTCCAACAGGACCGCTGTTGGAACATGGGCCAATTTTCTAACAGGCCGGCCGGAATCGCTGTTGGAAACTGCGCGGTTGGATTTTGGGCTGTTGGAAATTGCCATTTTCTTACCCGTAAGACGCCCAAATTATTTTTTTGGCTCAGAAAAGTCCCCCCCCCCCAAATCCAATCCGGAAATAATCACGCCGTAAGACTCAGCCGTACAGATACCTTTGACGTAAAGGCTATTGTTGGTATTGCGTTTGGCTTCGTGGGCTCTCTCCGTCGTGTACAGCAAACCCCTTACCGCTACACAAACACCCCTCCCCGGGACTACCTCTCTCTTCTCGGACGAGTTCTTCTCGGACGAGTTCGCGCAGCGTGCCAACGCGTCCTTGCGTGTCCGTTGCCCAACGACGACGCGACGGGGGCAGTTGCAAACAATTTTTTGTTCTTTTTGTTCAACGGCGAATCCTTCACTTCTTCAACAAGACGAAACCTCTCACCAACTTTCGAAACAAATGCGACGGTAATATATTTACATATCTTTATACTTAACGCTTAACACATGCCCTATTTCTGTCCGTTAAACCTCCAATCAGGCGGCCCCGGCCAGCGGAAGCAGCATCACTAGTAAGCTTCTGCGGTCTGCTCGCGGGGTGGGCCGTCAGCAGCAGCCGCCGCAGCAGCAGCAGCAGCAACCGGCATCCCCGCCAGCGCCGGCCGTTGGCATCGGGTCGCTGGTGTCGTCAACGGCGGTGGTGTCGGCACCGGCATCGCACCACCGGAGAGGGAGCGCCTCTAACAGCGAGGTGGCGGTGACCGCGTCGGCGTCGGCGACTGAAGCTGGAGGTGGCGGCAACGACGCGGGGACCGGGGTCGGCGTGGTTGGCATGGGCGAGATCGAGGAGGAGGAGCGGCGGCTTCAGGAAAAGGCTAGCAAGCTCGAGGTAGGTGTCTGCCCCGTTTGTCCCGTTTGTTGCTCAGGAGGCCGCCACCCGTGGTTTCATGTGTGGAAGGTCATACTGTAGCATGGGCGATGCAGAGGTTGCTGGTATGTACGATAAGTATCTCGAGAAACCTCCATCTGGACGAGATGTTTTCTTTGCCGCCGTTCTAATATCGAAATTGGGGTCCAGCAGAGTGAATCAGCCCGCTCTCTTGAAAGCGATTGATTGCGGGTGTCGTCTGCCGTGCGTCGTCATCTACGCGCCGGGTTTTCATGAAGCCGGGAGCTTTCATGAAGCCGGGAGCCATGCCGTTGGTTTTGACGCGGAGCAAAGCCTGTTCGTGAACCGCACAGGGTGTGTTCAACAGCACGTTACGCTGAGTGCGCATGGTTTAATCTGTCGGGCGAGCGGGGGCGCCGTGACTCGCTCAACTGTTCTCGACGATTCTCCTTCAAAATGAAGTGACTGTCTGTTCCGGCGGGGTGGCCTGGTAGCGGCCGGGAATATTTAAAGTTATGTTGTTCGATGTCCTGGTAATTTGTTTTTGGGGCTCGTGCGGTGGTTCGATGCCTCTGGCCCGGCGTGAACCGGCCGGCCCTGGCGACATGCTTGCTCGAACAGCGACCGTACCACAACCCTGTTCCCGTGTCGCACCGTGCATGGACTGGATTTGCAATCAAACCCTCCTCTTCCGACTCAATTCCGTAGCCGCTGGTCGGCTTCGGCCCCCACCATACCATGCGGACGCGAGGAGCTGGCTGTGCCTCTGGATCCCGGAACGCGAACTAGTTTTTTATTTTTAGTATTTTTTGTTTCGCAGCGTCTGATGGAAGCTCCTCTGCCGCGTCTCTGCAGCTTTTGTTTGCATGGCTCTCGCTTGCTGACGGGGATTGGGTTTGTGCTTGGGGTGGTCGCTTGCTCCCACCCCTCGAACACCTGGCTGTTATTGACCTCGCTACGGTAAACGCCGACTAATCTCCCGCCCGTTCGTGCTGGTGATCGCCGCCGCGTGCAGCTGGAGATGTCGGCTGTGCAGAGCCGTCGTCTGGAGGTATACCTGGTGAAGGTGGAGCAGCAGCTGCAAGGTAGGACCATCCCGCCCGCCTGGGGGCAGGCCGTCTTCAATATGCATGTGGAGCCGAATCTTCTCTACTATTGTTGAACCATCTGTTGAGCATAAGCTTCTACAATATATATACAGCCAAGTTATTTGAGATGCCCTTGAGCCTAAGCCGGTCGACTGCCGGGATAGTCACAGGGGTGTGGCCGTCTGCTCCCCCTCCCCCATTGTGTGGTTTGATGTGTTCTGCGCAAATAATTCGTTCAGAGGAAGCCGCGATGAGGCTGGTGCAGCGGGAGGCCAGGATTAACCTGGAGGTGGAGCGTTCATGCAAGGCGCTAGCTGCGGAACGGGACGAGCGGGTCAGCGGGGTTGCAGCAGTGAAGGTGTGCATTATTTTTTTCTGCCTTTACGTCGACACACCCCTAGTCAACCTGCGAAACAGGTTTACGGACGCTGATACTTGTAGCGATAGGAACGTATCGATATCCAAATGCCTGTATTGTGTATTTTCCAATATCGGACCTGGTGGGGTTTCTTCCTGCAGCGTGCCGTGAGCCTTGACGATGGTGACACATCCTTTTCTTTTTTTTAAGTTCACGGCTACCGGCTGCTGCTGCTGCTGCTGCTGCGGTTAATTTTTCTCATCCTTCGCCCTCTCAACAGCTGAGCAACCCCCGCGACCCACAGTAGTAATCCTTTGATGATGAACGACCAAAACAACGCAGGATAACCTTCGCGGGAAGCTGGAGCAGCTGTCCACCATGTACGAAGAGGTTTCGACGAGGATGAACAACCTAGAGAAGGCTTACGCTCAGGCCGAGAATGAGGTGCGGTACAGTGTGGTGAACAGCAGTGCGGGACTACGGTACGCCTGCATCCCTTTACGAAACGTAGTTTGCGATTTTCTATCATGGGAACACCGTTTCTCTCATTGGACGCGTGGTAAACGAAAACCTAATCTATTTTTGAAACATAATTTGCGTATCATGGGAACACCGCTTCTCTAAATGGAGGTGCGGTGAACAGGACGGTACGCGTGCATCCCTTTCAGAAACGTATCCCTTTTTGGATGGGAACAATGCTTCTCTCATTGGAGTTCGTTTCGAGGAGGCGCTTACGCGGACATGTTGTACTTACTGTTGTCGTTTTTGCGTGTGGCCAATCTTTTTTAGGGGGATATTCTTGTCTCATTGAAAATTCCGGGGAGAGGGCTACCCGGCTACCGTTTTTCGTTAGTATTTTTGCTGTCACCGTGACCCGTCATATGTTCCCGTAGTATGTACTGTACTGAAAGGCCTTTTTTTCTCCTCGGTCGTACGCCAGGTGGTACGCTGTAGTTCATCTTTCATCTCTTTCCTTGATGCGGCCCTCACGAGCAGAAGAGTGGCGTGCTACGTGCCCCCCCTAGTAAATTGTCATCCCCCGGACCAACGGGGGGTCCTAATTTTTCATCCCTTCACGGGCTCCCTATACTTCAAGTGTATTACTTCTAAATGGTGAGTAGAACCAAAATCCGACAAGACCGATTCTTATGGTCAACCAGAATCGGTACACGAACTATTTTCTTTTCCGCTTCCGCTAGGTATACCCCGCCCCCCTCGAGAATAACAAGAAACCCGACCTCGCATCACATCACCGGAGCACTCTCCCCCGGTGATGGTCGGATCACCACGAAACTTTCTAGGCCTAGGCCATACGCACCATATTTGCAGACTTCTCCGGAGCCCGTTGTGATTGCTGTGGGATCTGTGTGGGCTGAGAATTGTGAATCCATGTGAGCAAAAGCGAACGTCGGGGTGGAAAAGGTATTTTTGCCCACGGCTGTTGACTATGGTGGCCATGAGGGCGAACCTCTCCTCGGCTGCCCCGGCGTCCGGCCGCTTTACTTTATTTTATTTTTTTCTGTTTTGATTGTACGACAGTTGAAGGACCGGGCGCTTGCCGATCAGCGGAAGGCGGCAGAACGGGAGGACCGAGGCGTTCGGCGCCGAGTTCGGGCGATCATGCTGGAGCACGGCGGCAAGGCCGCCGCCGCTGCGGCCGCGACGGCCGGCGGCGGCAACGGAGACGCGGCGTCGTGCGGAGAACCCTCTCGGGGGGTCTCCGAAGATCGAGAGGGTTTCGACGAGCCGTGGTTTTTCGCCACGCAGGACGACAACAGCGGCGGTTACCTCACCGCCGCCGCCGCTCACCAGGCGCCGTCGCCGTCTGCCTCGACGGCCGAGGAGGAACACCAGCAGCTCTTCCAGCAGCAGAAGCTCAAGAAGCTGGAGCAGCTGCAGCACCTCCAGAGGCAGCGCGCGGTGAGCGCGGAGAGGAGCTTCGCCGCTACCGGTACAGCCCAGCAACAGCAGCAGCAGCAGCAGCAGCAGCAGCAGCAGCAGGCTAAGGCAGCGAAGGCGAACAAAGACCGGCGTCGGTCCGTGGGATCGGTCGGGAGCATCGGCAGTGCCGGCAGCGACGGCGCCGCCTTTGCGAGCGGTGTCGGGGCAGCGGCGACGGCGGCGAGGCAGAGGAGGCGCCGGGCGAGCGTGGAGAACCCTTTCTAGGCGAGCAGCGGCTTGGGTGCTCGTCGCGGGGGTAGCAGAAGGTCTTGGCGCGGGGGGTGGTGTGCGCATTGCCTCGGGGCCATGAGGAGTTGGCCGTGCGCGTCGCTTGTGGCGACGGCAGTCGGTGAGGGGGACAGGCGGTAAGTTAGCGTCTGGAGGCCGGTGGCAATGAATCCTGGGATCGTTTAGTGCTGGAGGCGTTAGTTGCCCTTGGGAATGAGGCAGCACGGAAGAGGCCGGGCTTGGGACGTTGGCTGTCCCTCCAGTGCTGGCGTGGTGGCGCCGCGTGTGTTGGGGGTCCGGTGACGGTTCCCTCGTCGCGCCACCCTGTCGACGACCTCTGAGTTTTTCTGTGCACATGTGCTGTGTGTACAAATACATTATATTGGTTTATTGTTTGGTTAGACTACCTGCCTGTAACAGGGTATTCTGCAAATCGCAAGATGGGTAAGGGTTGACTCGGGGGACGGCTGATCGCGTACGGCCGCAACATAATACCAAGGTCGGAACTCGAAATCGTTTGGGGTACAACTTGGATGCTTGATGACCGCCGACGGACCTCGGCTTGCATATTTTTCTGGGCCGGGTATTGTGACTCGGCCCTCGTTAAAGTCTGTTGTGTTGTTGTTTGATTCCCGTGTGTCGTGGGCCAGTGTGAAGGATTGCTGGTTGTCCGATCGAACCCTTTGTCGGAGCCTGGGTTCATGCTCACAAAGTCGTCGTCGTCCCTGTTAGCTGTTAAAAATTTCGTAGTAGTGTGCATGTGTCGTTTTCGCTTTTGTTCTCTTGTCGGTGACGCCAAGCAAGTAGGCGGGGGGGGGGGGTATCGAGCGGGCGTGCGCCGCCCCGCTTTTGCATCGTTGTTTGACCAGATGCATGCGCGAACCGGGCGTTGGTCACGTCCATCCATTTGGCGTCAATTTTCCCGGCGCTGGTGTTCCTCTGGAGTTCCTTGTTTGTGATCCCGGGTGGATGTATCTGTCTTGCTCGTCCTCTCTCTCTCTCTTTCTCTCTCTCTCTCTTTCTCTCTCTCTCTCTCTCTCTCTCTCGCTCTCTTGTATTTTAGTCTCGGGGGGGTACGGGTCTAAAACTACAGTTGGTTGTCGCTTGCATTCATTTGTCTTCCTCTGCTGCTTTCGTGCGGCTTTTTCCCTTCGATGTTGGTTCGGGTTTTAATGTTCATTTGTACAGTGAAGACCGTATGTCGGACGGTGGAGTAGGAATAGGTCGGCCGGTGTTCTTTTGCCTCCCTGGCAGGGACGACGGTGAAATCTGCGAGAGCTAGCAACATATCCGTGGTAGCCTAGACCCGTTCCGTTTCACTCGCTTGAGTGCAGGTAGGTAGGCCTGCGCGCACGTACGTCTTTTGTTGCGGACGTCTGCCGTGGTTCATTTTTAGACGTCTTGTCGTGTCGTCGTCGTCTGTAGCTCGAGGTGGTATGCACGTATGGACGAGGGGCAAATATCGGTTTTGTGATATGGCCAACATACAAATTGTACCTGCCAGGGCAAAAGTACACGTAAAGTATTTTCTTTTTTACGCCGCCAAACCCGCGTGTTGAACCTGAATGCCAAGAGGACCGAATTTGGGCTTGTTGTACACCGGACTCAGGTGCGTCGTTGTCCGCTGGATTGAAGCTAGGATGCCACGACGAATAGTCATTTCCTGCATTCTGGTAGCATTGTGAAGCACGCGGCGGTTGGTGGCATAAATAGTGGTATCGCCAGCTGGCGTCGATGTATGTAAAGCTGGAGATTTAGGGCGCACGGCGGAGGATAAGTGTTCATAAACGATACGCCACTTAGTTACTATAGTCGAAAATAACATTAGGAAACTAAGCTCGGACCGCAACAAATAAAGCCGAGTGTTGTTTTGGTATTCAAGTATATAGCGCTACACCAATTCGAGAAATTGTAACGTCGCGATTGGTTGAAGAAAGAGGAAACGGCGTAGAGGCACGACGGTCGTTCGCGTAATGGCTGCAACCCGAAGAAGAGTTTGCGAGAAATAACCGTGCTGATTGGTGAAGTGCGATGAAAGAGAGTGTATGCCTTATTTTAACGGCGTTCATATTAATGTGGATTATTTTGGTTGGAAAGTTGATAGCTTTGGGCGCGTTCATTGCCAGAGGGAATGATGTGCCCATCAAATGTTCGTACCGCAAGATACCAAACGTATAGATACGTGCATGATACCTGGCCGCGGCCCTCTTGACAATACACTGTCAAGCCTAGAATGAAGATGTCTAGCCGCTCAAAGTTTGACTCAGTAGGGTTAATAGGGTTAACGATTACGACTTGCTTTTTGAGAAAGAGGTGGAGGACCCAGTACTGTGGCGGCCGGCCAATGATATGCCCTTGAAAAATAACGTTGTCATGTAAGATATGCATATGGGATCAATCCCGTCGGGGGGAAAGAAAGGAGTTTGTTTACGGTAGGCTGCGGATGCTGCTGATATGTATGGCCGCGCTGCTGTGTTGGGGTGCAGTACAGTGGTGCCGTAGCAACGCCGTGAGGGTGTACCACGTCCACCTTTAGAAAACGGTTCTTGCAACGGTTCTTAAAGCAGCCTTTTGCTCGACAGGTATCCGCGAACAAATTAGATGCTAGTCACCAAGTTGGTGCGTAGGTCGGAAGAAGATGGGCCATTGTTGGTTCTTCGTGTCGCAACACGACACCACCACCACCTTTCCCTCGCATTATCACTGGAAGGATCCACCGCATGCATATGGATACTCGCTACTCTATTGCTGGGTCTTGCCGAATGAAACATTGCACGTTCGTGCGAGTCGTAAGGTCACCGTGCGGCATGCATACTGTCGCCACTTCCGACGAACGGTTCCCACGTGGTGAAGACAATTTGTTTTTCGCCATCATTGGCGGGAAGGTCGCCCAGGCGACTAAAAACATGTAGACTACGCAGCGGTTAACGCACGATCGCGGAATATCATCGTCGTCGAACCCGTCCCGTAAGTATGGCGTAGTCTTATCCTTGTATAATATAATCTTATAGCCCCTTCGTGGTGAAATAGACTACAGTATGAGCGAGCGAGTGAACACAACGCTGGCTGGCCACAACAATAACATACTGGTAACCTACGGTACGTTTCTGGAAATATAACTTCAACACCATGCCCTCGAACTTGTGCAACGTATGCACATCAAGTACTTGCACGCACAAGTGATTACTTGCACTGACGTACGACAAAACGCAGAATGCTTCAACAATTGATTGAACTACTTCCAAGTTCGGCTGCAGAGCGCATACGAATATTCATTCATTCAAGCACGCAAGTCTGAGCTACTTGCACTGCCTGTGATATTTTTCTGGAAATCTACATAGAGGATGCAGATTATTTCTGGATATGAAGCACACAACATCAACCAACTATGAATGTCTCCTTATTCCGAGTATTAACGGATCACACGGAATTTTATCTACGACACGACATAGCGACATTGACAATATTTGAACTGTGTAGTCAAGCTGACTACCTAATGCTGAAGCTTACGGTAGTGCCAAATATTCCAACAATATTTTGTCTCCAGAACCAAGCAAATGCTGGCGAAACTCTTGAGCATTGACTAAATTTAGCATAAGAACCGGTGAGCACGATATTTTCGCGCTCTTGCTCCCAAAGAGTTTGGTCGAAACCGCCAACCTCACGGCCGTACTGCTTGTGAAGGCGGGGGCTAGAAACTCATAATGCACTGAAGAATTTGCGTATCTCCAAAGAGACGGGTTTTTTCGGCAGCGAAAAATTGCTCCGCACACAAATATTTAACACCAACCACGAAAGTAGGAGGTGTCCACCGGCAGAAAGGGGAGGGAATTTTCCAGAACAAAGTCATGTCTGAATTAATATACTCCTGGGAAGCGTCAAAAACAGCACCTTCGGAGGGCTGCCGAGCACCAGGAGCAGGAGTGGTAGGTTCACCCACCGCTGGAGTTTCTACATCAGGAAAGGGGTCATTCGGCGAATTCGAATCCACTGCCGAATTCGCCGAGATAAACGGGGTCGCCACTCTTCATATAGGGCTGCCCGTTTCTAGATCTTGGACCGTACCCGCATCCGTACCGGAACGGGGGGAATATAGATCGCTTTCGCTAGGATCGGCCACTCGTGTGTTGTCTGCTATAAACTCGGACGGTCAATCCCTCTTGACGCAGAACGCGAGCATGCCGCATTAACGGCGGTCGCCTCTCGACGGTCATCAAGAGACGGTTTGGTCAGCACGCTCAACGTCGCCGGCAGGGTATGCTCTTTATTATGCATTGCTTCACGACCATTTGTTGGTAAACATGGGGTTGTGTCAACCCGGGGATGCGGCAATCGTCGGTCGTGACCTGACGAAACCGCTACCGGTGCCTTTGCGGAGTCGAGCCCAGACGAATCAGACGAACCAGAAACTTCCTCTGAATTCACCACTTCCGACGAATTCTCGTAGATCGCAGGAAACGTTTGGCGCGTGCCGGTCTGACCTGCAGACGGTCGGGGGAGCTGTCGAGATGATCTCATTCTGCCCGGAGGACGGAAGAAGAAGAAGAGGCGGCAGCAGCAGGAGCACGGCCACGCTGGCGCTGATCGGAACCACCACCACGCTGGTGTCCTCCCGCTTGGCGCCGGTCCGAAGATGCGTCCCGTGGACGGCCTCCTTGGCGGCTCCGGCCAGCTCCGGAATCGTTGGAGCGACGCCAGCCGTTTGAGTCGCCTTCGCCGCCAAAACTGGTGCCCGATATGGCCCAGGCAGCGCGGTTCAACTTCCGCTCGGTCGATAGGGAACGCGTCCTCCTCACGGCCACCCGCGCCGCCGTCGACATGCCGGTGGGAGCGACCGTCTCCGATGCTGTGCACGCCGCCAACCACAATGCGGAGCTTCACGGCAAGGTGGAGCTCCTGGTCTCCCCTCCGGGCGGCCCGAGGCCACCCGACACAACAGGTACAGTGGCCAGGATGCTCCATATTAGCTACTGCAGCTCTGGCGCCTGTTCCGTTCGCCTCCGTGTTCTGCTGTCCTGGGGAAGCGGCCCTTCCCGTCGTCGTCCAGGTTTGAGTGGAAGCCATCTGTTGCAATATAGAAAAGAGTTCAGCGTTGCGGGCTTCAGTAAGACGAGCTTGCTCGAGAGCTGCTGCAGTAGCAGCACGTTCGCTAGCGGAAGATAGCATGGGTGGGGGTGCCGGCACAGTGCAGGCGCAAGGGCTACAGAAGGTGCTGTGCGGGCATGGTGACGGTGGTCACGAGCGGCGGCTTGTCCCCGATTACTCGTGGAGTCAAAGGGAATTGGACGAGCGGCAGCAGCACCCCTGGTGGGCTTTGTTTGCTGTTGACGAAACGAAGAAATTTCTGGCACGCTAAGAGTAGTATAGTGGATTTTTTCCGCCGCTGGTATATATATCGAGGCAGCACGCACACTACTCTTGGTAGGTGTGACGGAGCGCACACCGCTGGACACGGGTGCGGTGGGACGCACACCACTGGTAGCGGGTGCGAAGCCTATAATAGAGTGATCCGCTCATCGTTGGGACGCACATCGCTTTGAGCGAGTGCGAGACTGCGTGAGAGCGATGCGCTCATCAGGTTGTTGTGCGGTGGAACCCCCAAAGGGTGTGTGCGGCAGCGTCAGAAGCGGGTGCAGCAACAGCAAATTTGATGATGTGCACACCAATCTGAGCGGCGCTCCGCGAATCGTCACGAGAAAGGCTGGCGCGCCTGTGCCCAGCGCGAAGCTCAGACAGACGTGCGAGTTCCTAGGTCGGATCAGCAGCACGGGCACCACTCTCGCGCGAAGCGAGAGAGACTGATGTACCAGGCAAAATGTCGGTTTGCCCAGCAACAGCAGTAGAGCTACGGGGATCAACGGGCCACAAGCCTAAGGGCGCAGACCGCTGAGACAGCGTCTCCGACAGAGGATTGTCAGACACAGAGTCCCCGCTACCATCACGGCGAGACATACCACGAAGGAAAGAAGAGAAGCAAACCAGACCACGCTTCCAGAATGTTTGGGTGCAAGAAGAGCCGACAGCTCTGTCTGACAAGAAAAAAACAAGAGGACAGAATCCAGAGACAGCTCGTACTTTTACTGCCAAAGATGCCATGTGCGATGAGAACGCGTAGCTATCCCTGAAGACCCTGATGACGACTCACTTTGTTCTTGTTCTCTTTCTTGCTGTCTCTCAATACAGCAGTACACGTGCTGTTCCTAGCTCCGTAGATAGACTGAACAGAAGGGGGCGCGGGCCGGTCCTTGCTGAGAGGGGGGATGCTATGGCTATATCCCCTGTTTAGCAATAGTCCAAAGGAGCTGCAGTTCCCGCCAGATCCGCATATCTTGCCTAGAACTACCGTTAAGAACCTTGCACTCAATTCCCATAACAGTATTGTGACGACAAGGAAGGGTTCCCTCTTTGCGCGGCGAAAAAAAAATCCCCCCCACGTGCGCCCACTCTAACATCAAGTCTAATCTGGTGCAACATCCTGTGAGTGTATATATAACATGATACTACTGTACATGGGTCATTCACGTGTTCACTCTGGTTCTGGTTTTTCCATGCATATGCTTGATCGAACAAAGAGCTGTTGCTGGGAACCACTTCCATGGTAGTCAAAATCCACGTGGAAGCTAGTTCCGTTTGTCAAATAGTGTAGGTTACCCAGCTTTTGCGCAAGGGGTCAACCGGCAAAACTTATTGGCGCACGTATTCACAATCTTCGTTGCGATGCGACAAAAAACTTCTCTGTGCATCGCCCGTCCGGTGGTTCTGCTTCTCATATCTCCGAATACGAATGGAATGCAGCACAAAGATTTTCGCACAAAGCGCGTTAGTTTAAAGGAGGCGAAGGCGTAGACGGTAGCTTGCTCCTGACATTCTTGTCCACGATCGCGTAAGGATGGGAAAGTTGCTCGTTACTGCTGACGGAGGCAAGGGCCTGAGATGAAGTGGGGATCCATCTTCATCTCAGGGGGCACACAGAGTAGACAGTTCTCTAAGGGGGTATGGGCCCAAGAAGGTATACCTCCTGACCATCCCACATCCTATCAACAATAAGATGTACCCTATTCATGCTGGCAGCCACTCCTTTTAACATTAGACTACTCGTCGAGATGTTGTTGCTACAGCAGCCGGACACAACCAGCTGTTCGGAATTATTTTGGTACCCGCTCCCACGCCCCACCCACACATCGTTGGGCACCTCCTACAGTTTATTGTCGTGTTGTTGCCTATCGGGATACGACGTGAGCTCGTTGGGCACCTCCTACCGTTTGTTGTCGTACTGCTGCCTATCGGGACACGAGAAGAGCTACTTGCCGACAGTGCGTTCGTTTGTTGGTGAGGTCCATGCGACCGGTAACACATCTCGGGGCCCCTCCGTTTCTCTGGGTACCCCGCCCCAAATATGGCCTTGGAGTGCTGGGCTCACAAATGCTCCCCGCTCCCTGGCCACGGCGAGACCAATGTGGTAGGCAACGGATACCGCTCTCCTCACAGGAATATATATGTGGCCGGTACAGATGGTCAGCAATGACCGGGTTCACAAACAAGCCTCTGCGAAAAAAGGTTTGGGAAAATACCAAACTATTTTCACTGGGGGGCACATCGGGAAGGAAGAAAATAGGAAAACATGGACGGAAGATCCCAGGGATGGATGCTTTTCAAACATCCCCCCTACCCCTTAAACTCACCGTGTTTGCCATCGGAGTCGGGTTTTGGTCGCTTGGCAACGACGTTGTAAAACACGCCGATCACTTCGTGAGCTCGGCAACCACGTTACCGCTTTATATTTTTTGCCTCTTGTCTTTTTGCAGCAGCCATAGTGAGTGGTGGTCGAGTAGATCGTGTCGTGCGGGGTCGAGAACCCTGACTCCGCGCAAAGAGGATAATCGCACCACGTTGTGCGGAATTGATAAAGCACCCTCGAGGCAGTTGCACAGTGCTTATAACTGTCTCTGGAAGTGAAAGCGCCGGAAAATGTATTATGTCATACGCAGCTGCCATCTGCATACGCAGGAAAGTAAGCACAAGTTGCCGAACGATGCAGCGCATCCTTCATGCGACTCGCCGAGTACCTCACGGTGTTTCGGGCTTGGTGACGTGAGAGCCTGGTCCGGTGAGAACCTGGCGTGGTCTGTCCCCGCTTGTAGGGATGCGAGGTCAATGTACGGCATGCACGACTATGAGTAGACACCCCCCGGGCCTTTTCCAGAGAAATTGGGTCGATCATTGGGCCATTTCGGATCCACGACGCTGAGCGCAAGAGCACACGCTTTTCACTCGTGTGTTGGTCGAATGGCTGTCAATGAACATGGGTTCTATGTTTCAAAGCCAACCGCACGTCTATGCCATCGTTATTCAAGGTGGTAGCAAAAGCTGAGCTTCCACCGCCAGCCAGCCGAGACAGTGTGTTGGTGTACGTCGCCAATGTCTACCCAACACATTCATTCATACGTGGTGATCGTAGATGTACAAGCATTGCACATGCGCGGGGACGGAAACATCTAGTCGTCAGAGGACCCTCAGCATTCGTACGCACTGACAGCGATGACAACCTACGACGATACCACCATACGCCGTGGCCTGGAAACATTATCGCTCTGCAAGGACAAACATCCGTCAACGAAGCCCCGGGTCCTTGTTTCCCGCTCATTTGGTCGCCTTTCATATGTGTTCGTCGCTGTTGCGGACAGTGCGGCTTTTCAAGCTGCTCCACCGTGGGTGAACCGTTTGACCTAGCGGCCGAAGACGGCTGCGAGACTACTATTTCGGAGATTGAAGCCTTGCGGCGTGGCCCCTTGCGCGATCGGTGGTAGGTTCTTCTGCGGAGAATAAATGGAGTGTGGCGCATCGGTTTCATTGCTTGGCCCGCTCAATATGCGCGCGGGCATCACTCGAGAAGTGAGGAAATACGGGATCGGGGACGCACGTTGTAGTGTGTACATTTACCGAGGCAGTAAAATATCTCTTTTGCAATATGATATGCATACTAAGTTGGCGTTGTGACATGTCGACGGTTGCAGTCACTATGAACTATTATTCTCCAAGCTCTCTCTGCCCGATTCTCGCCGTCGTTCTATGTTGCAACGTGGCGTGAAAGTGACATCAGTCGTGCACTCTTTGTCCTCTTACCTCCAAGAGACCGAATTTTGGTGGCCTTTGGGAACTCTGGGTTCCGTTTCGCTGAACTATCATTTCAATCAAATGATTGTTGAATATTTCAAATGTTAGTCCGGATGTTCTGACACAGTCTATTGCTTGCTGGAACTGCAGGTGGAACAAAAAAAAAGGGTAGTCTTGTCGTTGTTTCACCCAATCAAACAGGGACTTCTGTGCAGCGTCCCGTTTTAACTTTGGTGTGGGAGTGAAGTGTGGGACCGCCAATCTCGGTAAGACCAGCGCTCACCTTGTTCCATCGTACCCATGCCCCAAGCCACCAGCGCCCACTCCCGCCTCCTTCGAGCCAAGCTCTGCTGAATCCAGTCCAGGTGCCAGACAATCAAACAGGTCACCGGCAGACTGCGTGCTCGGCGGTGTGCAGACAACGAGCACGCGCAGAGAGAAACAAAGAAGGTTAGCTTCGACATATTCGGGCAGATGGTGGTCTGTGCCGCCAAAGAATTCCCTGGACACGATGGCGGGCGGTCGCCAGGGCAAGTCAAATCCGCGAAGCACGGTCCTTTCTCGCAGAAACAGCCTTCTTGTTTTCATCACCGTCCTTGTTGCCGTAATCGAAACCTTCACACAAAAGCAAACGGGTCTCTCTCTGCTCCGTACCTGCTGACACCCGTACCGATCCAACCCTTCTGTGGTCACAGGCCTCCTATCC